GCCCACCTCGTTGTCACCTGCCCACCTCGCTGTCACCTGCCCACCTCGCTGCCACCTGCCCACCTCGCTGCCACCTGCCCACCTCGCTACCACCTGCCCACCTCGCTGTCACCTGCCCACCTCGCTGCCACCTGCCCACCTCGCTGTCACCTGCCCACCTCGCTGCCACCTGCCCACCTCGCTGCCACCTGCCCACCTCGCTGCCACCTGCCCACCTCGCTGCCACCTGCCCACCTCGCTGCCACCTGCCCACCTCGCTGCCACCTGCCCACCTCGCTGCCACCTGCCCACCTCGCTGTCACCTGCCCACCTCGCTGTCACCTGCCCACCTCGCTGTCACCTGCCCACCTCGCTGCCACCTGCCCACCTCGCTGTCACCTGCCCACCTCGCTGCCACCTGCCCACCTCGCTGCCACCTGCCCACCTCGCTGTCACCTGCCCACCTCGCTGTCACCTGCCCACCTCGCTGTCACCTGCCCACCTCGCTGTCACCTGCCCACCTCGCTGTCACCTGCCCACCTCGCTGTCACCTGCCCACCTCGCTGTCACCTGCCCACCTCGCTGTCACCTGCCCACCTCGCTGTCACCTGCCCACCTCGCTGTCACCTGCCCACCTCGCTGTCACCTGCCCACCTCGCTGTCACCTGCCCACCTCGCTGTCACCTGCCCACCTCGCTGGCACCTGCCCACCTCGCTGCCACCTGCCCACCTCGCTGCCACCTGCCCACCTCGCTGCCACCTGCCCACCTCGCTGCCACCTGCCCACCTCGCTGTCACCTGCCCACCTCGCTGTCACCTGCCCACCTCGCTGCCACCTGCCCACCTCGCTGCCACCTGCCCACCTCTCTGCCACCTGCCCACCTCGCTGTCACCTGCCCACCTCGCTGTCACCTGCCCACCTCGCTGCCACCTGCCCACCTCGCTGCCACCTGCCCACCTCGCTGTCACCTGCCCACCTCGCTGCCACCTGCCCACCTCGCTGTCACCTGCCCACCTCGCTGTCACCTGCCCACCTCGCTGTCACCTGCCCACCTCGCTGTCACCTGCCCACCTCGCTGTCACCTGCCCACCTCGCTGTCACCTGCCCACCTCGCTGTCACCTGCCCACCTCGCTGTCACCTGCCCACCTCGCTGCCACCTGCCCACCTCGCTGCCACCTGCCCACCTCGCTGCCACCTGCCCACCTCGCTGTCACCTGCCCACCTCGCTGTCACCTGCCCACCTCGCTGTCACCTGCCCACCTCGCTGCCACCTGCCCACCTCGCTGCCACCTGCCCACCTCGCTGCCACCTGCCCACCTCGCTGTCACCTGCCCACCTCGCTGTCACCTGCCCACCTCGCTGTCACCTGCCCACCTCGCTGTCACCTGCCCACCTCGCTGCCACCTGCCCACCTCGCTGCCACCTGCCCACCTCGCTGTCACCTGCCCACCTCGCTGTCACCTGCCCACCTCGCTGTCACCTGCCCACCTCGCTGTCACCTGCCCACCTCGCTGCCACCTGCCCACCTCGCTGCCACCTGCCCACCTCGCTGCCACCTGCCCACCTCGCTGTCACCTGCCCACCTCGCTGCCACCTGCCCACCTCGCTGTCACCTGCCCACCTCGCTGCCACCTGCCCACCTCGCTGCCACCTGCCCACCTCGCTGCCACCTGCCCACCTCGCTGCCACCTGCCCACCTCGCTGCCACCTGCCCACCTCGCTGCCACCTGCCCACCTCGCTGCCACCTGCCCACCTCGCTGTCACCTGCCCACCTCGCTGTCACCTGCCCACCTCGCTGTCACCTGCCCACCTCGCTGCCACCTGCCCACCTCGCTGTCACCTGCCCACCTCGCTGCCACCTGCCCACCTCGCTGTCACCTGCCCACCTCGCTGTCACCTGCCCACCTCGCTGTCACCTGCCCACCTCGCTGCCACCTGCCCACCTCGCTGCCACCTGCCCACCTCGCTGTCACCTGCCCACCTCGCTGTCACCTGCCCACCTCGCTGTCACCTGCCCACCTCGCTGCCACCTGCCCACCTCGCTGTCACCTGCCCACCTCGCTGCCACCTGCCCACCTCGCTGTCACCTGCCCACCTCGCTGCCACCTGCCCACCTCGCTGCCACCTGCCCACCTCGCTGCCACCTGCCCACCTCGCTGTCACCTGCCCACCTCACTGTCACCTGCCCACCTCGCTGTCACCTGCCCACCTCGCTGCCACCTGCCCACCTCGCTGCCACCTGCCCACCTCGCTGCCACCTGCCCACCTCGCTGTCACCTGCCCACCTCGCTGTCACCTGCCCACCTCGCTGTCACCTGCCCACCTCGCTGCCACCTGCCCACCTCGCTCCCACCTGCCCACCTCGCTGCCACCTGCCCACCTCGCTGCCACCTGCCCACCTCGCTGTCACCTGCCCACCTCGCTGCCACCTGCCCACCTCGCTGCCACCTGCCCACCTCGCTGTCACCTGCCCACCTCGCTGTCACCTGCCCACCTCGTTGTCACCTGCCCACCTCGCTGTCACCTGCCCACCTCGCTGCCACCTGCCCACCTCGCTGCCACCTGCCCACCTCGCTACCACCTGCCCACCTCGCTGTCACCTGCCCACCTCGCTGCCACCTGCCCACCTCGCTGTCACCTGCCCACCTCGCTGCCACCTGCCCACCTCGCTGCCACCTGCCCACCTCGCTGCCACCTGCCCACCTCGCTGCCACCTGCCCACCTCGCTGCCACCTGCCCACCTCGCTGCCACCTGCCCACCTCGCTGCCACCTGCCCACCTCGCTGTCACCTGCCCACCTCGCTGTCACCTGCCCACCTCGCTGTCACCTGCCCACCTCGCTGCCACCTGCCCACCTCGCTGTCACCTGCCCACCTCGCTGCCACCTGCCCACCTCGCTGCCACCTGCCCACCTCGCTGTCACCTGCCCACCTCGCTGTCACCTGCCCACCTCGCTGTCACCTGCCCACCTCGCTGTCACCTGCCCACCTCGCTGTCACCTGCCCACCTCGCTGTCACCTGCCCACCTCGCTGTCACCTGCCCACCTCGCTGTCACCTGCCCACCTCGCTGTCACCTGCCCACCTCGCTGTCACCTGCCCACCTCGCTGTCACCTGCCCACCTCGCTGCCACCTGCCCACCTCGCTGCCACCTGCCCACCTCGCTGCCACCTGCCCACCTCGCTGCCACCTGCCCACCTCGCTGCCACCTGCCCACCTCGCTGCCACCTGCCCACCTCGCTGCCACCTGCCCACCTCGCTGCCACCTGCCCACCTCGCTGTCACCTGCCCACCTCGCTGTCACCTGCCCACCTCGCTGTCACCTGCCCACCTCGCTGTCACCTGCCCTCCTCGCTGTCACCTGCCCACCTCGCTGCCACCTGCCCACCTCGCTGCCACCTGCCCACCTCGCTGCCACCTGCCCACCTCGCTGCCACCTGCCCACCTCGCTGCCACCTGCCCACCTCGCTGCCACCTGCCCACCTCGCTGTCACCTGCCCACCTCGCTGTCACCTGCCCACCTCGCTGTCACCTGCCCACCTCGCTGCCACCTGCCCACCTCGCTGCCACCTGCCCACCTCGCTGCCACCTGCCCACCTCGCTGTCACCTGCCCACCTCGCTGTCACCTGCCCACCTCGCTGTCACCTGCCCACCTCGCTGCCACCTGCCCACCTCGCTGCCACCTGCCCACCTCGCTGCCACCTGCCCACCTCGCTGTCACCTGCCCACCTCGCTGTCACCTGCCCACCTCGCTGTCACCTGCCCACCTCGCTGCCACCTGCCCACCTCGCTGCCACCTGCCCACCTCGCTGTCACCTGCTCACCTCGCTGTCACCTGCCCACCTCGCTGTCACCTGCCCACCTCACTGTCACCTGCCCACCTCGCTGCCACCTGCCCACCTCGCTGTCACCTGCCCACCTCGCTGCCACCTGCCCACCTCGCTGTCACCTGCCCACCTCGCTGCCACCTGCCCACCTCGCTCCCACCTCGCTGCCACCTGCCCACCTCGCTGCCACCTGCCCACCTCGCTGCCACCTGCCCACCTCGCTGCCACCTGCCCACCTCGCTGTCACCTCCCCACCTCGCTGCCACCTCCCCACCTCGCTGCCACCTCCCCACCTCGCTGTCACCTGCCCACCTCGCTGCCACCTGCCCACCTCGCTGCCACCTGCCCATCTCGCTGTCACCTGCCCATCTCGCTGCCACCTGCCCACCTCGCTGCCACCTGCCCACCTCGCTGTCACCTGCCCACCTCGCTGTCACCTGCCCACCTCGCTGCCACCTCCCCACCTCGCTGTCACCTCCCCACCTCGCTGCCACCTGCCCACCTCGCTGTCACCTCCCCACCTCGCTGCCACCTGCCCACCTCGCTGCCACCTGCCCACCTCGCTGCCACCTGCCCACCTCGCTGCCACCTCCCCACCTCGCTGCCACCTCCCCACCTCGCTGCCACCTCCCCAACTCGCTGCCACCTGCCCACCTCGCTGCCACCTGCCCACCTCGCTGCCACCTCCCCACCTCGCTGCCACCTCCCCACCTCGCTGCCACCTCCCCACCTCGCTGCCACCTCCCCACCTCGCTGCCACCTCCCCACCTCGCTGCCACCTCCCCACCTCGCTGCCACCTCCCCACCTCGCTGCCACCTCCCCACCTCGCTGCCACCTGCCCACCTCGCTGCCACCACCCCACCTCGCTGCCACCTCCCCACCTCGCTGCCACCTCCCCACCTCGCTGCCACCTCCCCACCTCGCTGCCACCTCCCCACCTCGCTGTCACCTCCCCACACTGCCATGTCCACCGCGCTGCTCTCTCGTTCCCGGCAACCTGTCCTGCTTTCGCGCCTTTTGTTCCGCCAGTCAGCGCTGCTTCTCCTTGCATCTCTCCCGCTCGCCTCATTGCCCAAACCTCCTCCCCCCTTCCTCGCCTCCCTGCCTGTGTCTCGTTCCCCACCCAAGCTCACCCGGCGCCCCCCCGTGCGTCTTCAATCCCCGTCCCCCCGTCCTTCCCCCCTCAGGACATGGACGGGTTGCTGCAGGAGGCGAGGGGCGTGGCGGTGCGGCTGCCAGCGGTGGCGCAGCTGCAGGCCCGGCGGGACGACGCACGGCGCTGGGGAGAGAGGGCACGCGCACTGCTGGCGGCACTGGGGGGCAAGGATGGGGGGAGGGGCAAGCAGGCACACAAACAGGGAAAAAAAGAAGGGCAGGGGCAAGAGGAGGGGCAGGGGCATGCAGGAGCAGCTAGTGTGGCAAGCAGCAAGTGTGGCCCGGGCAGCCCTCCCCCCTCCAGACTCTCTCCCCCTTCTGCTCCCCCCACCACACCTGCTCCTGCCACCCCCCTGCCTGTCACTCGCACCACCGCTGCTGCTGCTCCCTCTCCAGCAACCCCTCCTCCCACCGTTGCTGCCTGCACTCCCTCTTCCCACCACCCTGCATCCATCCCCACTCCGTCTGCCACAGCCCCTGCTGCGCTCACAGCTTCTGCCACTGACGCCACCCCTCTTGCTGCCCCTTGCCCTGCCGCTGTCCAAGCTACTCTGCTTCTCCCGTCGCCTTCCGCCGCTGTCCCACTTGCCACTGTCACACCCGCCACTGTCACACCCGCCACTGTCACACCCGCCACTGTCACACCCGCGTCGGGCAGGCAGAGCGGGTGGAAGGAGGAGCTGGCAGCGCTGGTGGAGGCCGGCACGCGCATGCACGTCACTCGTGAGTGGGGGTGGGGCGGTGGAGGGTGGAGCGGTGGAGGGTGGGGCGGTGAATGCCGTGGAGAGGGAGTGTGAGGAGCAGGAGCAGCGTCACACCTGCATGGTCAACAACAACAGCATCATCATCACTGTTTTCTGCTTCCATCGCCTCCTCCTGCCGCTACTGCTGCTAGGGTTGAGCAAAAAAACGAACACCTTTCGAGGCGAACCGAACAGGTATTTTTTTTTGGCTTAAAATGTTCGCCGAACAGTGTTCGATGTTCGCCCGAACACGTTCGTGTTCGGGCCGCTGCTGCAATTTGCCCGCGACGAACACGAACAGTGTTCGAGGTTCGCCCGAACACGCCTTCACAGGCGAACGGCGAACACCATTTTTTGCTCAAAGTGTTCGCCGAACCGAACAGTGTTCGGTTCGGCAAACGAAGGTGTTCGTGTAGGGGCGAACACGAACACGTTCGTGTTCGCCACTTGCTCATCCCTAACTGCTGCCACCGCTGTGGCTGTTGCTGCACATTTCGTTTTTTCCTGAACCACTTCCAACCCACAAATCCCCACACTCCTCTCCCCCCCTTCTGCCAGTGGGCGAGATGGAGCAGGTGCAGCAGCAGCTGCAGCGCATGCAGTGGGAGGAGGCGGCGGAGGGGGCGCTCATGCGCCGTGCATCAGTGGACGAGCTGCTGGCGCTGCAGGCGCAGGGGGAGCGGTGAGCGTGTGGGAGAGCAAGGAGAGTGGGAGATGTAGGGAGATAGTTGAGAGCAGGAGAGTGAGGGAGGGAGATTCAAGAGAAATAGATGGGGCAAAGGGAGAGAATGAGAGAGAGACATTCCTGCCTTGCTACTAGATCCTTCGCAACTTGCAGCTTGAAGGTTCAGGCCTGCTTATGTCTGTCATTTGGTGTGTCATGAAAAGCACACACTCCACCTGCTTCCTCTCCCGTGCCTCTCACTCAACCCTGTCCGTCGCACCTGTCCCACTCCTCCCAACCCTACTCTCCCTCCCGTCCCATCCCTCCCACGGCCTGTACTCACCCCACCCTCAGGCTGCCCACGGGCAGTGCAGTGGTGGCGCGCGTGCACGCGGTGGTGGCGGCAGGCAGCGACTGGCAGGCCAGGGCGCAGAGGGCGCTGCAGGAGGGGTGCAGCCTGGAGGAGGGCGAGGCGATGAGCAGGTGAGAGGGGGAGGCGAGGGTGAGTGATACACGTGGGGAGACGAGGTGTTGTAAAAAAGGTAGTGGTGCAGTGAATGCAATCATGTTGGCGAATCCTCCAGTCCACTGCGCAATTGCCCACATGAAGGCGTCTCGCATCGCATTCCGTGCTTCCGTATCCCCCTCCGTGTGAGACACTTAGCTACGTACCCTGTGTTGTATTGTATCATGTTTATGGTTAGACCTATTAGTGTACACCCAAATCATGGGTGTACACATTGAAGAGGACGTCCGACTTTTGGTTGGGGTCCCGCAACCCAAGCAACGATTATTGTTGGGGAGCCAACATTGGTGGCCAAACCCTCAATGTTTTGCTCCTCCAATAATTGGTTCAACCCCACTTATTGAGCTGGGGCCCCCATCCCATTGGTTAGCCAATAATGGTGGGGGGGAACCTTAACTGTGCTCACTCACCTCATGCCCTATTTGTACTGTACTGCTCTTTTTCCCCAATATACCAACTTTTGAGTTCACCTCTCATCCCAACTATGGGATTCTCACATCCTGTCTCGCCCACCCATCCTCTCCGCAAATGTTTCTTTTCCCGCTGTATCCCCCCTTCCTCCCCTTTTGCCCTTTCCCCCCACCCCCACTGCCTCCTCCCCGCCCCCCCAAACATCCCTCGCTCGCCCGCACAGGGAGGCGGAGGCCATCCCAGCATCGCTGGCAGGCCATGCTCACCTGATGTCAGTGCTGGCGTCAGCAAGGGCAGCAGCAGCTCGAGGCGACCAGCTGCTGCTGGCTGTGCGCCGCTCCGCTGCTGCCGTCACTGCTGGTACTGGTGCTGGTGTTGCTACCCCCGCTGGGGGGAAGGAGAGAGGCAGTGGAGGGAGGTGGAAGCGGAGGAGGAGAGGGCGAGGGGAGGGCGAGGGAGGGGGGGTGCAGGAGGGCGCGGATGCCCGAGTGACTGTGGAAGAGATTGAGGTATGTGGTAGGCCTGACTTCTTTTTCTCTGGTCAGCTCTGGGAAAAGAAAGCTGGGCGTCAAATGTCGAAACGGGTATCAATTGTTTGTTTTTTAGCTGCATATGTGTCCAACTCTCACTTAGCTCGACCCCGGTACACTTGACTGCGTCCACCTGACTCCATCTCATCCTCCCTCCTTCCCTCCCCCCCCTCCACCCCACCCAACCCTCTCCCCCGTCTCCCCCTTTTCCCACCTACCCTCGTCCTTCTCACATCCCCTCCATCCGCCGTTTGCCACAGGCCTTGACTGCAGAGGTCGTTGCGCTGCCCGTGCGTCCACCGCACGCACCACAGCTCGCCTCGCTGCTCTCTTCTCTCGCCGCCTGGCAATCCGCCACCTCACACGCCCTCCACACCGCCACCACCTTTCTCTCACCACCCACCACAGTCACACCGACCACAGCAGCTGCAGCACAGAGCACCCAAGCCAGCCCGGCTGCAGTGCCCATCGCCGCCGAGTCAGGCGCCACACCCCTTGCATCAGCACCAGCTGCGCCTGCAGGCAAGCCCCCCCCGGAGCTACTGGTGCCGGCAGCAGCAGCGAGCGCCAGTGCGGCTGAGCTGTCGTCGCTGCTCACCCAGGGGGCAGCACTGGGCGTGGCGGTGCCCGAGCTGCCGGCTGTGCGCGCGGTGGTGCAGCGCCTGCACTGGGAGGTCGCCGCCCATGCCCTGCTGTCTGGCACTGCAGATACTGCGGTGCAGAGTGGTGGTGTGGCGCAGGACAGTGCGGTGCAGGGTGGTGGTGAGAGGCGAGGCAAGCCCAGCGTGGAGGAGGTGGAGGCACTGGTGGCGGCTTACCCACTCACTGATGCGCTCGCCCACCCTCCACCCCACCCAACGCCATCAGCACCACCACTACCATCAGCAGCTCCATCCGAGGGCCTTGCTCAGCCTGCTGCATCCGCCCCCTCTCCGCCCCCCTCGGCGCGCCTCTCCCTGCTGCACTCAGCCCTGGCGGACGCACGGCAGTGGGTGCAGGCGGCCAATGAGATGCTGACACGTGGCCCTGCCAGCTGTGAGGTGCAGGAGGTGGAGGCGATGGTGGCACGTGGCATGGTGAGAGAGATGGAGGGAGGGGAGTGGAGCAAGGGGTGAAGTGAGGGTTGTGCGCTAGGGTGAATGGGGGTTATGTGCGTGTGTTCTATCTGTAGTAATCTGGTTATTCTGTTTTGTGTACAGCGCCCTTGTACCATCTATCCATGTGAACTAGCCACAGCTCGAGGCACCTCTGCTGCAGCCGTTGTAGCGACTGGTGGCCCCACCTGTGTGCCCTCCCATCTGTTGCTTGCCTCTCGTTGGCCCCCATGCCCCTCCACGCCATGCTATTGGTGCAGGCCTTGCAGGTGTGTGTGCACGACAAGTGCCACCAGCTCAGCACCGTCATCGCCTCCCACAGGTCAGCGCCTGCACCTCTCCCACGCACGTCTCTTGTTGTGGTGCAATGCTGGGGTTTAGGGAGTGGCCACCACAGTTTCTTCCTGTGCTCTCGGTCCCTGTGCTGCTGCCCACTTATGTGCTTGCTCACCGCTGTGCCTTCCACTCCTAGCGCACACACACACACCCTTGTGCCCACCCACCCCCCTCCGTGGATGTGCCCTGCCTACCAGGGAGTGGGTCAGCGAGGTGCAGCAACTGCTCGCCCCACGCCTCCCTGCGCCCACCTCACCACCTCCGCTGCTGCCCCGTGCACCTGCCACAACACTTGCGCACCTCAAGGGCCTCCAGGTATGCCTCACACAAGCCATATCTCTGAATATGCGTGGCATCTCACGTTTCATACTGTGCTTCCATCTCCTCCCGCAATGTGCACTCGGCTGTGTTCCTTAACTTCCATCCCTCCCTCCCTTCTTCCTCCAACGCGCCCTTCTCCATTCCCACTCCAGCTCATCTCGTCTCTCCCTCCATCCAATCCTCTCATTTCAATTCTCCAAAGTGTCAGCTACAATCTCCCTTCTTTAACGTTGCCCCAAGCAAGCCACCGCTCCTCGTTTCCCCCTGTGGCCCACCCACCCACTCTCACACCAGGTGCGCGGCAGCAGCAGCGTGGTGGCGAGCGGGGAGGCCCGGCAGGTGCAGCAGGCAGTGGCAGCGCTGGACGACTGGCTCGTTGCCTGCTGTGCTGCCCTCCGGGGGGGCTCAGGGGACGAGGGGGCGAGAGGAGGAGGCGAGGGGGCACAAGGGGAGGGGAGTGTGGCACCAGGGGAGGGTAAGGGGCTGCACGGGGAGGGCAAGGGGCGGGTGTGTGAGGAGGAGGTGGTGCGGAAGCTGAAGCACATGCACAGCAGCGTGCAAGCAGCTCTTCATCGCATCTCCTCCCTGGCCCGCCGCACCGCTGCCCTCTCACACCTCACTGCTCTGCCGGCTCAACCCTTCTCTGCGTCAGCCAATGCTCCTCATCCCGCAGTGCTGGCAGGCAGTGCAGTAGGTGCCACCGCAGATGCCGTGGCTGCCGCCGCATCTCCCGCAGCCACGGCCCCCACAGCCACAGCACCAGCTCATGCGCCGGCACCAGGTGTGGCACCGGCAGTAGCAGCAGCAGTGCGAGGGGCGCCAGAGGCATCAGAGGCACCTGTACCTGCTCCGCCTGGTGCTGCTGCGGCGGCGGTTGCTGGAAGCGTCTCTTCGTCCGACACCGTTTGCTGGTGTGCGGTGCTGCACCACGCCCACCCTGCATGTGCTGCTTCTGCTGGTTTCTCTGGCGGCAGCGACGGGCAGGCAGTGGTTGGCGGGCAGGCGGGAGGAGGCGGTGGGGATGTCCGGGTTCGGGGAAAGCGCAGCGGTGGGAGGAGAGCCGCTGCTGTTGTGTGCGGTGCTGTTGGGCGAGAGAGTGGTGCAGGCGGCGCAGGGATGTCATGGGAGAAGAGGGAAGAGAAGGCAGGAGAAGCAAGAGGCGATAGGGAAGGGAATATGGGAGCAGTGCGTTTGGAGAAGGGTGAAGCAAAGGAGGAGGAGCAGAAGTTAGAGAATGGATATGGATTGAAGGGCGAAGGCATGAAGGATGCACTTATATGCGACGGATGCAGCATGAGGTATGTGGATCTTATCATAAAGCATACTCCCCCCTCCTTGCTCCACGGTTGCCCCCACCCTCACTGCATATTTCCTTTCCTTCATTGCGAGCCTGCTGCAATTCCCATTCCCTCCATTGTGTGTGCCTTCCCTCCGACCGCCTCCCCTTGCCTGCCTCACTCTACACCCTCACAGATTCCACGCCGACTGTCTCTCATACTTGCATGCTGCCGCCCCCTCCGCCGCTCAAGACGAGCAGCAGCAGGAGAAGGCGCAAGAGCAGAAGCGAGAGGCAGCAGGGCAGCAGCAGGCAAGGGCAGAGCAGGGTGGGGGGGCGGGTGGTGGGGTAGTTCCACCAGGTACAGACAGAGACAGCCACCCACAGCCGCAGCAGCGGCAACGGCACGACCAGAGCACTGAGAAACAGCAGCCGTTGCCGCCGCAGCAGCAGCAGCAGCAGCAGCAGCAGCAGGGTCCCTTCACATGCCCGTTCTGCTCCTCCCTCGCCTCAGCAGCCGTCACACCTGCCGTCTCAGCATTGTTCCATGTACGTCCTGCCGCCCCACTGCTCCTGCTAAAATGCCATACCACCACAGGAGCACGCTTGCACGTCCCTCTTCCACTTGCACGTCCCTCTTCCACCTGCACGTCCCTCTTCCACCTGCACATGCATCCGCCTCACTTGCCACCAGCAGCGCGAGTGCATGCTCCCTCCACTCGCTCCCTCCACTCGCTCCCTCCACTCGCTCCTCTCCATGCTTCTCCCTCCCCCTCCCCCTCGTCTGTCCCTCACGCCCTCCTGCTGTGCAGCCTCGTCGCCTGCCCCGCGTGTCGCTGCGGTGCTTGGTGGGCCTGCTCTCTCGCGCTCTCCCTCTCCACCCCAGGTACCGCTCTCGCTCATCCAAACGTGTACACATGCACGCATGTGCACATGCTTGCACGCTCTTGCTCACTTCAACGCGCACTTTCCCGCACATGGCATTCACGCATTGCACAGATGTATGCTTGTGCCCCCGCCACCACACACGCATTGCACCCGGTTTGCCATGCGCACACACTCTCTCGGCCAAGCTGAACCCCATCCTCTCTCGACTCAGAGCAGGGTGCACATTTCAGCCAGCCTGCTTCTTGCATCGTGCGGCATGTCCCCCCCTGTTCGCTCTCTCACTCTCTGCTCGGCCCCACCAGGATCGCAGCCGTGCACAGCTTGGAGCAACTCGTCCAATCAGCAACGCGTTGCTCTCACTTGCTGACATCAGCGCTCTCCACCACCCTGTCCTTGCCACGTCATGCCGAACCCCTGCCTCCCTCCATACTCAGCTGTCTGCTTCAGGTGATTTTTCAGCATTGTTTCAGGTTATGGCTGACCCTTTGTCTCAAGTAGGTATTTATCTTTATATTTCAAATGATATCATCTCCTGCCACTTGTCAAATCTTTGTTTGCGATCGGGCCTTCAGTCACTCACTCTCAACCCCCAATCCGCATCCCATCTGCAGGTGGCCTCCTGTCTTCCACTCGACATGCCACTTGCCTCTCCGCCATCGCTCTCCTCCACTGCCCCTGCTGCCACACCAGCGGCACCAGATTCAATAGCAGCGCAGGCAGCAGAGCCTCTTGCCTCGTGGCTGCTGCACGTGAATGCAGTTCTCTCACCGCCCACACGCCAGCAGCAGCAGCAGCATCTGGTGCAAGGGGATCACACGAAGCATGTCACCGGCACTGCAGCTGCTGCCGCGGCAGCGACTGTGGGAGTGGTGGCTGGAGGGCAACAGGAGGTGCAGCAGTCGGCAGGGCAGAGCGCCAAGGATGGTGGAGGAGGGCCAACAGTGCCGACAGGGCCAGCGGCAGCGGCGGTGTCGGAGGCAGGGACAGGCTGCTCTGTTGAGGCGGGCGGCACGCTGGCGGTGATGCAGAGGGCAGTGGCCGCCCACTGCTGGAGGGCTGCCACGTGTAGTGCTCTCTTTGGCCGCCCACGGCCCCGACCTTCCACCCTGGCACAGCTGGTGCAGACGGTGAGATAGTGGCTTATACAAACAGAATTGCACTTACGGCGATACTGTGTAACGAGCAGATCTTAGTGTCTCCAACCCCACTTCTCTTGTCTTTCCGTTGCTCTCTTCGCTCCATTATACTCTCTGTGTGCATGCCAAGAGTCTTTTTCTGTCCCACCTTCTTCCATCTCTCAATCCTCGTCCTTCACCCCTCCCCTCCCCTGTCTGTCCTCCAGGGCTCGCACACAGTAGGCACAACTGATGCCGTTCTCGGGGAAGCCAAACAGCGACACGAGGCAGCTTCTGAGTGGCTGTCTTGCTTCAGCAAGGCACTCTCATCTCAGTCACAGCTGTCAGAGCGCCAGGCCGCCCAGCGTCTGTCACATCTGCGCGCGCTCATCAGCCACGCCTCTGCCCTGCCTGTGGACCTGCGCCCAGAGATCAAGGTGAGCAGCGAACCTGCTGCTGTCGTCATGGAGAATGCTGATCAAGTGCTGCTGACTATTCACCTCTTGCTGCATTCACCTTATCTCCCTTCCCTGTCCCTCCTCTCCCTGCCACCCCGCGCCACTATCAGACCCTGCGCCGCGCTGTGGCCCGCCTGGCATCGCGCCTCAAGGCTGATACCGCTGCAACTACTCCTCCTGCCACTCAATCGCCTCCTCCCACCGCACCACCCACTGCATCGCTGCTCACCGCACCCTCTCCCGCACGCACAGCGACGCCTCTGGCTGTAGCAAAAACTGTAGCGCCGTCAGGCAAAGCAGCTGCGACAGCACGTGGGGGAATCGGCACCGCAGGTGCTGCCTCGGAACTGAAGGCGTCCGGGCTGAAAGGCTCTCGCAGTGCCAAGCGGAAGCTGGCAGCAGGCGGGGAAGGCAAGGCAGTGCGTGTGGGTAAGGGGAGAGCAGGAGCAGTGGCTGTTGGGGGTGCAGCAGAAGCGAGTGTGAGTGTTGCTCCCAGGGCTGCATGCAGTGTGGCGACCAGTGGTACTGCCTCCGCTGCCACCGCTGTCGCTGCTGCTACCGCTGCCACAGTTGCCTCAGCTGGCGCTGGTGCCACGGCCGCAGCCACCAAGGGCAAGAGGAGCCCTCGCGCCCTGCACGCAGCGGCCCTGCAAGGAGGCAGCTGCATGGCCGTGCCTGCTTGTGCTACAACCTGCCCCCGTGGCCCGACTGTAACATACGAGCCTGCCCCCGCCTCCTGCATCGCCTCACCGCTTCTGCCTGCCTGCTCCTCCCTTCCTCAACCCACCGATCCATCCCGCATGGCCTCTCGCCCTCTCTCCCCTTCACTCCCTGCCCCCCCGGCCACCTCCCCTGCTGCTGCTCCTCTGCCTGCACCGCTGGCATCGCCAGATGCCTGCCCGCCTGCCCCAGGGGGTGAGGCAGGGGCAGGCGTGAGAGTGAGTGGGAAGAGGAGCAGGTCCGTGAGGAAGAGGAGGAGAGAGGTAGGGGAGGGGAGTGGTGGGGGAGGCGGTGAGGTGAGGGCGGGAGACAGCAGCGATGGCGATGGCGATGGGGATGGGGATGGGGATGGGGATGGGTGTGCTGGCAGTGCGGGAAGTGCTGGTGGGGTGCAGCGCAGCAAGGCAGCAGCAGAAGAACAAGCTGCTGTGCTGCTATCAGCTGAGTTAGCCGCCGTCGCTGCAGCAGCAGCAAGCACAGCAGGAAGCAATGGAGTAACCGCAACAGGATCCACACGAACAACCACAGCAAGCATACGAGCAACAGCAAGAGCGCCTCAAGATGATACACTCGCGAGCCGTGGAGACACATCACAGGTATCCTGCCCTGCCACCAAAGCTACCACCACAGCTATTACCACAGCTGCCACCACAGCTGCCGCCACAGCTGCCACCACAGCTACCACCACAGCTGCCACCACAGCTGCCACCACAACTGCCACCACAGCTGCCACCACAGCTGCCACCACAGCTGCCACCACAGCTGCCACCACAGCTGCCACCACTGCTGCCACCACAGCTGCCGCCACAGCTACCACCGCAGCTGCCACCACAGGTGCCACCACAAGTGCCACCGCCGGTACCACTGCAGACCGCATCTCCAAACTCTCAACATTGCCCCTCAAGCAGCCCGCTCTCTCCTTCCCGGTCCTCAAGAAGCGGCGCAGCGACCGACCCAAGGCAGGTGCTGTCAGCACGGCCGAGCCACCTTGAGCTCTTGCTGCCACACACCCTCCTGCTCCTCCCAACGCACCTGCTCACTGCGCTGTTGGCTCCACTGCTGCAGCAGCTGCTGCTGGCACAGCAGCTGGCACTGCTGCCTGCTCTGTTGGTACCACTGTCCCCTCTACTGGTATGACTGCCAGCTCGACCGCCAAGGTTGCCAGCTCAGCAGCCAAGGTTGCTAGCTCAGCAGAAAAGGCTTGCTGCCTAGAAGGGAAGGGCGGTGAGGGTCAGAGGAGGAAAGGCAGGGGAGATAGCCAAGATAAGAGAAGTGGAGACAGGGTGCGGGCGATTGAGAGTGGCATGCCAGGCACACGCACAGCAGGCCAGGGGAAGATGAGCCCTCGGCCACATGAAAGCGCAACAGCAGGCCAGGGGAAGATGAGCCCTCGGCCACATGAAAGCGCAACAGCAGGCCAGGGGAAGATGAGCCCTCGGCCACATGAAAGCGCAACAGCAGGCCAGGGGAAGATGAGCCCTCGGCCACATGAAAGCGCAACAGCAGGCCAGGGGAAGATGAGCCCTCCGCCACATGAAAGCGCAACAGCAGGCCAGGGGAAGATGAGCCCTCGGCCACATGAAAGCGCAACAGCAGCGGCAGCAGAGGGTGTGACAGTTGGCAGTGCGTGGCAGCATGGCAGAGCGAGTGAGAGTGAGAGTTTGGGGCGAGAGGGTGCAGCAGGTGGTGCAGAAGGTGGGAGCAGGGGAGGCGGGGTGGTGGAGGGAGGGGCGGGTGGAGGAAGGCGGTCGGTGCGCAGCACAGCAGGCCGGCACCCTGGCTTCGATGGCTTCCTGCTGCTGCCCCGCATCCGATGATCCCAAGATGACGGCATGTTTGGCATGGAGTGCGTGGCGAGGCGCAGCGTGGCGTGCACACAGCGGTGCCAGAGTAGCATTCACAAGCAGATGTGTGATTGATGGTATGGCTACTGCAGGCCGTGCACATGCAGACTGACTAACCTTGTTACGGCGAGGCTGGAAGCACAGGATGGCTGAGCAGGCAGTGAAAGAAGGCTTCAAGCCACGCATGTGCAACGGAGGAGAGGGAGGCGGTGGTAGTGTCCTTGGCTGCTCGAAGGGGAAGTAATGTTGCTGGTGGAAGGGCTGCAGAAAGGGTTAAACTTAAACAGGTGCGATTGGTTGATGGTATAGGTGAGAGAGGCCAGCAACAGGAGGTGTGGGGATGGTGGATGTTGCTCATCTGCCTCTCTTGATGTAGGTGGTGGCACGCTCCAAGGTCATATTTTCTGACTGTTTGATTTGACACTAACCCACTAATTTCTCCATGCACATAGTGAGTCATGATAGTACAAACCCTGGGGCTGCTTGTTCAGGCGGCGTGTGTGTGTGTGCGCTTACTATAAGTGACTATATTTACTAATGAATCATGAATAGGTTTGCTGTACCGTATGGCCCCGCCCCGGATATAAGCGCTGGCCTATGTTAGGCGCATGCCATTCTATCTCAAGAACTGCGCTTATGGCCGGAATTCAATAATAAGCGCACACTTGGGAACCCTTATTGATTACAGACTTCAATTTCTTGTCACCTATTTGACGTTGCAATTTAGCACACTCTTCTTTGACTAATCCTATTGAGGAGATAGCTGGAGTGTAAGCGCTAGACATTTGTTATCATTATTGACGTCTCCGCAACTCACGGGCCTACATTTGTACCACTCCTGCAATGATTGCGAGACTTTCTGCCCACCGCGTTTCTCGCCGCGCCTCATGTCTGGCACCAGCTTGCTTCGCGCTGGTAACCAAATATCGGTCACTTTCGCGCCTCCTGAAGTGCTAAGGACGTGTAACAAATGTCACACCGACCCTGTGAGCGATGTACAGGGTGTGCAGTAACTTCGTCAATTCGGGAATAGTTTCGTTTCTTTTTTCCGTCTAGTGTCTCCAGTCTCCTCGCCACGATCGATATCCCTCCGATTGCCGAGGTCAGATGGCGTCAAATGACGCATCGACCATGCGATTGGAGACGCAGCCCGCAGATGCCGCGCCACCTGTGATGGGCACGATCGATCGCCGTCGATTGTGACAATTGTGACGCGTCCTAGAATGAAGTTGGGCTGTGAATTCAACACTTAGGGCTAGCCCATGGCGTGAGTGACAAGGAACGACGGCAAACTTCCAGACACGCTCAGTGCCTATCACCAAGTAACGCGCTTCGACCAATCATCCCGTTTCCAGCGGCAGATTTCGCGTCGCGCCAATAGCCTCTAGCAACGAATAATCGCATCGACCGCACCCAACCAATAGTAAACCAGCCCCAGCTCGCGGCACTATTTAGCTCCGCACAATTCATTTGCGAGGCCACTCCATCTGCTTCCTTCGAATCCAATCCGGTGGTTGCTTACAATGGCCGTGCTTCGCGTTTTCTTACTGGTGCTCTCTGTGCTCATTGCCGCCGCGCATGTGGTCTCCGCTACAGCGCCGATATTCGAATCTGATCCTGCGCGGGATGTTGGCGTCTTGGCGGCGGACGACCTGTCCTCCCCAGTGGCAGTCAAAGATGCGTCCATCTTACCACTGATGCAGGAGATCCGACGGATGCTCAAGGGGAAGGCGGTCAAGGTGAAGATCAGGCCGAGTGAAATGAAAGCCATCGCTGAGGTTGGAAAGGAGCTTTCGAAGTATTCTAAGAAGGAATGGGATAGGATGGTGAAAGACAAAAAGAAGCAAGCGGAAAAGCTGGAGAAAGGGTGGGAGGATACCAAGAAGGCAGCGAATGAGGTGAAGCAGGGGTTTGAGAATGGGGAAGGTGCCAGGAAGGCAGCGGACGACGTGAAGCAAGGGTTCGAGAAGGCCACAAACTTCTTTGGAAATCTCGGACGCAAGTAGAGCAGGGCAGTGGTTGATAACCAAGGAAGGTATTGTTGCTGTTTGCATGTGCTCGGGGTGCTGTTTGGCGTTGGGTGGTTGACTTGTATGGGAACAATGTGTGCTTAGAAAGGGGGAAGGGTGGTAGTTCTTTCACGACTGAAAATAATTGGACTATATGGGCATTATGGAGCTCGGCTGCTTGAGAATCAAATCGCTTGGATCATAGCATAATAATCCAAGTTGGAATTATTCCGCCTTTATTTCACCTGCTTTAACAAGTTGTGATAGGATCAGTTACCTACTTCAACTATATTCTTACCCCGTACTGCTGCTGAGTTGCCCCCGTACCTTTCTAGACCAGGCATTTTCATCAGGCAGTTCTCTCCTATATCGATTCCATCCTACTTAGCCTCGTAGTTCAGAAGACCATGAGATTTATTGGAGTGTTTGGTGGGGCAGGGAAAGGAGTGAGGCCATGTGGGACAAGTCTGGGAGGGGTTAGGCAAGGTAAACAGTCCTTTGAGTGAGGTAGGGAAGAGAGTGGAAAGAGTAAGGCAAGCTACAAGGTACTTTGGGTGAGGCAGGGAGGGGAGCTGAAGGGTTAGAAAAAGGTGACTCGTGGTTTGAGTGGGGCAGGGGAGAGGGGAATGAATGATGGGTGATGCAATGTGAGGAACGTTCTTCTTGAGACGCAACGTGAGGAATATTTTCTGTGATATTTGGTTTCACCGTCAGGCACATTGCGTAGGTGCCAGGTAGAATACATGTTGTCTGTTTCGCCAGGTGCGCACCGTCGACCACGTGCTGCCATTCCGCAGGTCAAACTTCGCCAATACCTTCTCGGCGAAGTTTCGCACACCTCCTCAGAGTTTCGCACACCTCTGCAAGTTTGGTCGATCTTTTGGACACCGCTCGGTTGAACAGCGTTCGCCGAGCAGCGCTCATCGACCCGAACTCTTCGACCAGATTTCTTCGACCAGGATCGTCGACCAGCGCTCTTTGACGGGAGCTCTTCGCGCAGAGATCGTCGACCAGACGCAGAGCTCGTTGACCGGATTCTGTCGAGCACAGCCTGCTCGACCGCAACTTCCGTCGAACTGCAGAAGCCCATTTTGTCGACCAATCCGTCGCGAACTTCTCGTCGACAATGAGATCGGCTGCGCCCAAGCGAGGGCGGGGCCTTTCTCCCACAGACTATAGCATATAAGTTTGACAACATGCGTCGTTGTTTAGTCACGGTTCACATTTAAGCCAGTCTCATGAGTGTCCTCAGTTCGATGTGATTCTTGCGTTCACAGGCTGCTTCATATGGTTACACTAGGTTTTAGTATCTTGCCTGGCCGAAACACATATCATGTATAGTCTGGCCCCAGATAGTAGCGCATATGCGCTTATAATACACTCATTTTTTTAAGGGGGGTCTTGTAATTGAGTAACGGCCATAAGCGCCGGTGCTTATATAAAAAGAAATACAATTTAAACACACCAAAATCTATTTCAGTCTCGTAAATTCTAACGAATCGAAATCCTACAGGTTCCTGAATCAGAATCGCGCGAGGGCATTCTCTGACTGTGCACAGAGCTTTGGCACGTCACTTCACAGGCGTGACGGCTCATTCTGACTGGACGCGTGTCAAATGTTATATCTGCTACAGTTGGTTTAGGCTGTAGTGGGGTAGTTACTATGGGGTACAGTAAGTTTAGGGTTTCCTACTTGTACCCACCTCTTTCCTAGTGCAAACAATCTTGTTCATTCTGGCATGGTATTACGAGCCTAGGTTAGGAACCTAGGACCGCTTAGTCCTAAGGGCCCACCGTTCTGCTAGAAGCGCCCTCGAGCGCCCTACCACTTTCGCGCCCTCGTGCGCCTCTCTGCTAGTGCGCCCTCGCGTGCCTCTCTCTCTCACGCTGCCCGTGCGCAGCTCGCTAGCCGCCCGCGCGCGGCCCGTTTTTAGCGCGTGCAGCCCGCTAGCCGCCCGCGCGCGGCCCGTTTCTAGCGTGCGTAGGCCGTTAACCGCCCACGCACGACCAGCACCGCCCGCGCGCAGCCTGCGCCGTCCTCGTGCGGCCCCGCGCGCAGCCCGCGCGTCGCAGCTGCTTGCGCACCGGCCGCTGCAGCCAGCGCGTAGCTCGCTGCCCGCGCGCGACTGCAGCCCACGCGCAGCCGCGGCCCGTACGCAACAGCAGCCCACGCGCAGGCCCACCGTAGCGCCGCCCTGCCCGTCCGAGCCGCGCCGCATAGCCCTGTCCGAGCCGCGCCGCGCCGCCCTGCCCGAGCCGCGCCGAGCCGCCCTGCCCGAACCGTGCCGCGCCGCCCTGTCCGAGCCGCGCTGCCCTACTGCTACTGCTGTTCCGCCCGCTCCTACTGCTTCTGTTCCTACTGCTACTGCTGCTACTGCTACTGCTGCTACTGCTACTGCTGCCACTATGGCTAGTCCCACCGTCCTCTCTTTCGATGCTGAGGGCCGTCCGATTCAGATTGATGCTTGACTCGACGACCTCCACCTGTTCCTACAGATCACTGCCAAGGACGATGTCTCACTGTATGATCACGCGTCCGGAACCGCTCTAGCACTTGTAGAGACTGCTGACAGTACAGCTCGCTCCCAGTGGCAGACTCGTGACGCTCACGCTCGCCTAGCCATTTGCAGTCACCGGCCGTTAGATTAGCGCGCGCATTTTGGCCAGCACAAGACTGCTAAGGCACTGTACGATGCAGTAGTCGCGCGCTACTCCTCGCCTGCCTCTGCTACGATCGGCCGTCTCTCGCTGCCCTATCTCTTCCCCGATTTGGCCGCCTTTCCCACAGTCGCTGACCTCATTACACACCTCCGCACTAGTGACACTCGCTACCGAGCCGCCCTTCCTGCTGAGTTCCTCGCCAAGAATCCGCCCCCGATGTACCTCGTTCTCTACCACCTAGTCACCCGTCTCCCTGACTCTCTTCGCGCAGTCAGGGACCACTTTCTCGCCCTCTGCCCCACCGAGCTCACCGTTGACCTGCTCGAGAAGCATCTGCTTGCAGCTGAGGCTAGCATAGTTGCTGTAGGTGCCTCTTGTGGCGACCCCCGCACGCCCTTCTTTGACGGGTGTTCCCCTCCCCCCCTTCTCCCCTCGGTCGCCTCTGCTGCCGCTGTCGACTACCTTGGTGCTGAGGAAGTCGGGCGGGCGGCACGCTGGCGGTGATGCAGAGGGCAGTGGCCGCCCACTGCTGGAGGGCTGCCACGTGTAGCGCTCTCATTGGCCGCCCACGGCCCCGACCTTCCACCCTGGCACAGCTGGTGCAGACGGTGAGATAGTGGCTTATACAAACAGAATTGCACTTACGGCGATACTGTGTAACGAGCAGATCTTAGTGTCTCCAACCCCACTTCTCTTGTCTTTCCGTTGCTCTCTTCGCTCCATTATACTCTCTGAGTGCATGCCAAGAGTCTTTTTCTGTCCCACCTTCTTCCATCTCTCAATCCTCCTCCTTCACCCCTCCCCTCCCTTGTCTGTCCTCCAGGGCTCGCACACAGTAGGCACAACTGATGCCGTTCTGAGTGGCTGTCTTGCTTCAGCAAGGCACTCTCATCTCAGTCACAGCTGTCAGAGCGCCAGGCCGCCCAGCGTCTGTCACATCTGCGCGCGCTCATCAGCCACGCCTCTGCCCTGCCTGTGGACCTGCGCCCAGAGATCAAGGTGAGCAGCGAACCTGCTGTTGTCGTCATGGAGAATGCTGATCAAGTGCTGCTGACTATTCACCTCTTGCTGCATTCACCTTATCTCCCTTCCCTGTCCCTCCTCTCCCTGCCACCCCGCGCCACTATCAGACCCTGCGCCGCGCTGTGGCCCGCCTGGCATCGCGCCTCAAGGCTGATACCGCTGCAACTACTCCTCCTGCCACTCAATCGCCTCCTCCCACCGCACCACCCACTGCATCGCTGCTCACCGCACCCTCTCCCGCACGCACAGCGACGCCTCTGGCTGTAGCAAAAACTGTAGCGCCGTCAGGCAAAGCAGTTGCGACAGCACGTGGGGGAATCGGCACCGCAGGTGCTGCCTCGGAACTGAAGGCGTCCGGGCTGAAAGGCTCTCGCAGTGCCAAGCGGAAGCTGGCAGCAGGCGGGGAAGGCAAGGCAGTGCGTGTGGGTAAGGGGAGAGCAGGAGCAGTGGCTGTTGGGGGTGCAGCAGAAGCGAGTGTGAGTGTTGCTCCCAGGGCTGCATGCAGTGTGGCGACCAGTGGTACTGCCTCCGCTGCCACCGCTGTCGCTACCGCTGCCACAGTTGCCTCAGCTGGCGCTGGTGCCACGGCCGCAGCCACCAAGGGCAAGAGGAGCCCTCGCGCCCTGCACGCAGCGGCCCTGCAAGGAGGCAGCTGCATGGCCGTGCCTGCTTGTGCTACAACCTGCCCCCGTGGCCCGACTGTAACATACGAGCCTGCCCCCGCCTCCTGCATCGCCTCACCGCTTCTGCCTGCCTGCTCCTCCCTTCCTCAACCCACCGATCCATCCCACATGGCCTCTCGCCCTCTCTCCCCTTCACTCCCTGCCCCCCCGGCCACCTCCCCTGCTGCTGCTCCTCTGCCTGCACCGCTGGCATCGCCAGCTGCCTGCCCGCCTACCCCAGGGGGTGAGGCAGGGGCAGGCGTGAGAGTGAGTGGGAAGAGGAGCAGGTCCGTGAGGAAGAGGAGGAGAGAGGGAGGGGAGGGGAGTGGTGGGGGAGGCGGTGAGGTGAGGGCGGGAGACAGCAGCGATGGAGATGGCGATGGGGATGGGTGTGCTGGCAGTGCGGGAAGTGCTGGTGGGGTGCAGCGCAGCAAGGCAGCAGCAGAAGAACAAGCTGCTGTGCTGCTATCAGCTGAGTTAGCCGCCGTCGCTGCAGCAGCAGGAAGCACAGCAGGAAGCAATGGAGTAACCGCAACAGGATCCACACGAACAACCACAGCAAGCATACGAGCAACAGCAAGAGCGCCTCAAGATGATACACTCGCGAGCCGTGGAGACACATCACAGGTATCATGCCCTGCCACCAAAGCTACCACCACAGCTATTACCACAGCTACCACCACAGCTGCCGCCACAGCTGCCACCACAGCTACCACCACAGCTGCCACCACAGCTGCCACCACAACTGCCACCACAGCTGCCACCACAGCTGCCACCACAGCTGCCACCACAGCTGCCACCACAGCTGCCACCACTGCTGCCACCACAGCTGCCGCCACAGCTACCACCGCAGCTGCCACCACAGGTGCCACCACAAGTGCCACCGCCGGTACCACTGCAGACCGCATCTCCAAACTCTCAACATTGCCCCTCAAGCAGCCCGCTCTCTCCTTCCCGGTCCTCAAGAAGCGGCGCAGCGACCGACCCAAGGCAGGTGCTGTCAGCACGGCCGAGCCACCTTGAGCTCTTGCTGCCACACACCCTCCTGCTCCTCCCAACGCACCTGCTCACTGCGCTGTTGGCTCCACTGCTGCAGCAGCTGCTGCTGGCACAGCAGCTGGCACTGCTGCCTGCTCTGTTGGTACCACTGTCCCCTCTACTGGTATGACTGCCAGCTCGACCGCCAAGGTTGCCAGCTCAGCAGCCAAGGTTGCTAGCTCAGCAGAAAAGGCTTGCTGCCTAGAAGGGAAGGGCGGTGAGGGTCAGAGGAGGAAAGGCAGGGGAGATAGCCAAGATAAGAGAAGTGGAGACAGGGTGCGGGCGATTGAGAGTGGCATGCCAGGCACACGCACAGCAGGCCAGGGGAAGATGAGCCCTCGGCCACATGAAAGCGCAACAGCAGGCCAGGGGAAGATGAGCCCTCGGCCACATGAAAGCGCAACAGCAGCGGCAGCAGAGGGTGTGACAGTTGGCAGTGTGTGGCAGCATGGCAGAGCGAGTGAGAGTGAGAGTTTGGGGCGAGAGGGTGCAGCAGGTGGTGCAGAAGGTGGGAGCAGGGGAGGCGGGGTGGTGGAGGGAGGGGCGGGTAGAGGAAGGCGGTCGGTGCGCAGCACAGCAGGCCGGCACCCTGGCTTCGATGGCTTCCTGCTGCTGCCCCGCATCCGATGATCCCAAGATGACGGCATGTTTGGCATGGAGTGCGTGGCGAGGCGCAGCGTGGCGTGCACACAGCGGTGCCAGAGTAGCATTCACAAGCAGATGTGTGATTGATGGTATGGCTACTGCAGGCCGTGCACATGCAGACTGACTAACCTTGTTACGGCGAGGCTGGAAGCACAGGATGGCTGAGCAGGCAGTGAAAGAAGGCTTCAAGCCACGCATGTGCAACGGAGGAGAGGGAGGCGGTGGTAGTGTCCTTGGCTGCTCGAAGGGAAAGTAATGTTGCTGGTGGAAGGGCTGCAGAAAGGGTTAAACTTAAACAGGTGCGATTGGTTGATGGTATAGGTGAGAGAGGCCAGCAACAGGAGGTGTGGGGATGGTGGATGTTGCTCATCTGCCTCTCTTGATGTAGGTGGTGGCACGCTCCAAGGTCATATTTTCTGACTGTTTGATTTTGCTAAAATCAGAAAGTGATTGTAACCAGGATCACCTCAGGATGGTTCGCACGCAGAGAAGTGATGTTGGTGGGCCCTTGAACTCAATAGCAGAGTGAATGTAAAATGCTTTGAGATAATAAACACGTGCAGTACAAGGAATATAAATATGAGTACAGGGGAATTCGAAACGACCTAACTAGCCATGTACTCTAAGGGGTACATTCCCTTATTGCATCGAAATCCAACCGTGCGACTCCGAGTGGTTACGTAACTGTTCGGGCAGAAGCCACTGCTGCTGCCCAGGCCCTACGATATCAGGAATTTTTCCCTGAAATTCCTGATTTTCAGCCTAGTTTTGTGTACCTACACTGAATTTTCAGTGTTGAGATTTTTGTGACACTGATTTTTTCAGCCTTTACTTCATAGCTAACACTGATGTTTCAGACTTTTATCGAAGTGTACACTGAATGCACATTCCGAATCCTTCCCGTAAAACACCCGAGACAATAAGTCAACCAACATTTCCGCATCATAAAATCTTATGTAAAAAATACCGATCGTCGACTCCATGAACTGGCTTAGTGGTTAGCGAAGTAGATACCGATTGATAAGGTTTCCGGTTCGAATCCCTCTACCACCATGTTCTTAAAGCGACGGGCAACTTTTGGCAGTGTTGGGTTCAGAAGTTTTTTTTTTTAACCAGGCTTGCCAGCGCGAAAGTGCTGGCTGGCGAAAACCAGGATTTCGTGCGGACACTTTCCATCCGCAGTAACAGTTCGCCAGGGTTCTGGGTTTTGGGTGGCAAATGTGCACCGTCGCTTTAAAGGCTACTCTCTTGCACAATTGCATGATGTAATTGAAAATTCAGGCTCTTGTTTTCCGGAACAAATTCAGGCTTTTTTTTTTAGGAACCCTGAAAATTCAGGCTTTTTTTCACAGGGACCCTGATGCATCAACGTCCCTAAAAGTGAATCTGAGGGCCTGCTGCTGCCTGATGCTGTCTGCCCGACGGTCCAGATGCTCCTCGTAACCGTCTGTCCCTTCGACTTTCTTCTGGCTTTTCGTCTTCACTCTCGATAGTGCGTGCTTCGGCTTTACTACGGTGAGGAGTGCGCAACAGTGTTTTTCATTAACTACTATTCGTAACACCCCCCTTCACTCCTGGCCGTAGCGAGCATTGACCCGCTTGACTACCCCGCTGAGTTCGGAGCAGTGCTGGTACTGCTGACGCGGCAGTCTCTTCGTGAGGAAGTCTGCTGCCATGTCACCCGTTGGGCAGTATGTCAGGTCAACTTTGCCTTTGTCAACTTCGTCCTTGACGAAGAAGTACCGCAGTGCGATGTGCTTGGTGCGGTTGACGAAACCAGGTTTGTTCGCGATCCTGATCGCGCTCTGATTGTCGCAGTGCAGGCGAAAGTTCGTTGAGGCCGGAATTTTTGCTTCCTGCAGCAGTTCCTGAAGGTAGAGACCTTCGCGAACAGCTGCTGTTGCTGCGATAAATTCAGCTTCCGCCGATGACAGGGCAACCAACTCCTGCTTCTGAGAGTTCCAGGAGATGGGGCCGCTGGGCTCGAGGCGGAAGTGGAACCCTGTCCTGGACCGTCGATTGTCAGGGTCAGCGGCGTGATCGGCATCCACGTAGCCGACGAGGCTGAAGGATGTGGTTGGGATGGTGGAATAACTGAGCCCGACATTGGGCGTGGAGATGAAGAATTGAAGGGCTCGCTGAAGATCTGAGAGATTCTCAGCCGTTGGTTTGCGTGAGTACTGAGCCAACTGGCTCGCAATGTAGGAGAGGTCGGGCCTGCAGGTAACAGATGCGAAAAGCAGGCATCCCAACTGCTGCTGGTAAGTGTGAAGCCCAGCAGGGGACAGGGCTTTGTTGTCAGGCTTGTGGTTGGGTCCTGGAGTGCGGTAAGGGGTGGAGAGTGGTGCAGGCGCAATGTTGAAGCGCTTGCTAAGCTCCTCCGCATACTTCGCTGCTGAGAGATGAATGGCTTCCGGCGAGTAGGTGATGTTGAGTCCGAGAAACTGCTTCACGTCATGATTGCAGGTGATGTCGACGCGCCCTGCGAGGCTTCTCTCAAATTGCTCGAGCAGTTCGTTGCTTGAGCCTGTGTAGAGAAGGTCGTCGACGTAGACCGTGAGGAGGATGTATTCGCCGTGGAAATCGCGGCGATACATTCCAGGATCGTGAGGCAGCTGCTTGAACCCGATTTCAAGCAGTATGTTGTGCAGGTACTACTGCCAGAGTCTCGGTGCCTGTTTGATCCCATAGAGGGACTTGCGTAGCTGACAGACGCGTGGGTCTCCGCCGCCGTAAGTGTGTGGCTGTTCCACGTAGATCACGGCGTCCACTAATGCGTACAGGAACGCATTCTTCACATCGATCTGCCGGAGTGGTAGGTGTCGTGCGGCTGCGATGGCGAGGAGAATTCTGACGGGCGTGTGACGGCTGACCGGTGCGAATGTCTGGTCAAAATCAATCCCGTGCCTTTGATCGTAGCCGCGCACCACCCAGCGTGCCTTGAATCGCTCAATCCTTCCGTCGGCTCCTGTCTTCACTCGGAAGACCCATTTGCCGGAGAGAATCCTTCTCCCCTTTATTGCTGCACGGTCGACGAGCACCCAGGTGTCGCGCGACTCGAGTGCCCGGATTTCCGCATCCATTGCTTCGCGCCACTCCTTGCTGTGTGTGCCTGTGAGAGCTTGCCGTGGGTTCTTAGGTTCGATGATGCGCGGAGCAGTGGAGATGGCAGCGTGTAGTCCGAGTAGCTGGAGACCGGTGACAGTGCTGTCGTGGCGATGTTGAGTGACGACTTCCTGCACGTCGTCATCATCGCTTTCTGGTTCAGGCGGTGCTGTGTCTCCGCCGCTTCTGCTTCCTCCTGCTGCGCCTCCTCCTGTTGCGCCTGTTCCTCCTTCACCTGAATCATCGTCATCGTCGTCGTCGTCGTCGCGGCGATCGCCCCTTGTGAACTCGCCTCTGGGATCCTGCTCCAGAATTGCTGCTGCTGCTTCGTCCTCAGGTGAGGCGTAGCTGTGGCCCTCGTTGGCGTAGACGCGGTTTGCATTCGTCTGCTCGTCGTCACGAAATTGTTGCAGAAACAGTCGCTCGTAGAAGATGACATCGCGCGCATTCTTGATTTTCTGGCTTAGGAGATCCAGGATGATCCACGCCTTGTGTTCGTGGCTGATACCGAGATGGATTCCCCAGCGCGCGCGGCTTTTGAACTTCCCGATGGTTGATGTTGGCGGTCGGTATTGAACCATGCAGCCCCAGACGCGGAGCATGGAGGTGTCCCCCTTTCTTCCCGTCCATTTCACGTGCGGCGATTAATTGCCAGTGATTGCGGTGGTTGATAGCAGGTTGTGCACCCGCACGGCATGGTGCATCGCGTAGGTCCAGTAGATCGGCGGGAGCTTTGCCTGCCGCATTAGCGCCCGTACCTTCGTCATGAGGGTGCGATTCGTGCGCTCCGCTACGCCCTGCTGCTGGTGCGCGTAGGGGAGGGAGATGTGATGCTCGATCCCCTTTTGCGCGAGGTAATCCTGCAGTTCCTTGCTCCTGAACTCCGCCGCACCATCGGACTGCCAAATCTTCAATTTCTCCCCAGATTGCCGCTGCGCGTGCGCCAGCCACAGACGGAATGCTTCGTAGGCTCTGCTACGCGCTTCCACGTTTACGACCCACACGTGGCGCGTTCCGGCGTCGACGAAGGTGAGTGTGTAGAGTTCGTCGTTGATGCCGCAGTGTCCTACGTTGAGAAAGTCACTGTAAACCTTCTCAAGCTTGGCGTAGCGATTGGTTCCTGGCTCGAGTAGGGGGAAGGGCTGGTGAATCAGCGCAGCTTCGGGGCAGACAGTGCAGCTGCGCGGGTGAGTCCCTCCTCTCACTTCGGAGTCGTCAGGGCGCAACAGCGCGCCAGGTGCAAAGACGTCGGCTTCGATGCAATTCTTCAGGGTCACGCGCGAAGGGTGACATAGGCGCTGATGCCAGATGGCGTCGTCGGCGCGGAATCCAGATGTGCGCATGTAGCGCTCCAGTGCGGCTGCGGGGTCTTCGTCAGGTGCCGGTGCAGGTGTAGGCGCTGTTCCCCCGTTCTCTTCTTCTTCCTCGTTCGCCGTTGTTAGCATGAGGGCGAGAAATTCTGTGTCGCGGATGATGGAGTAGGGGATGTTGGTTCCGGGGATCGTGCCAAGTACGAACGCCGGTTCGCGTGGTTCAGGGGCAGGTCCGTAGACAGTGCGTCACGGGGTGAGTGGTTCACTTCCCCAGTCAATGGTGTCCCAGGGGTCACTACCTGAAGGGATGTCAGGCGGCGGTGGTCCTAACGCAGGGCGGCGCGGAGGTCGTCCGAGAGGAACAACGAGAGGTTCGACGTCGGCATGCGCAGGTTCTTCTTCCTCTTCCCCCCTTTGATCCTCGCGGAAAGCTCCCCAGCCGCTCGTCTCGCCGCCTTGTGCGGCGCCCCATCCGCCGATGTATGCGCCTGTTGCTGCGCCCCATCCGCCGGTTGCGACGCCCCAGCCGCTGGTGTCGCTCGTTCCCCATCCGCCGGCGCTCCCCCA